TAGGCCATCTTAACCTTTAGATCATCTTGTTCTCTGTATCCCCATCTTCGTTTCACAGTCCCAGCCCCATATACACATATTCAAATTTACCTCTCATGGAACTTCTGGGAAAGGAAACTGAAACTGACAAAGCATAAACCCTCCAAATTTAACACTCAGCCTTGTATTTTTGCCTCAAACAAAAAAGAAGACAGTCTCACTTATATTACAAGAAAAGCTCAGAGTAATAAATTATTCAAGCAAATTCAAAAAAATAGAAAGTAACACTCATTTAAAAAACCTCTCCCATCTTCCTTCTTCTTACACCTCAGAAACAGACTTGAGAATTGGATTTTCCATTCATTTATTTGATGAGTCAACCTGAGATAGCTATGCTATAGCCGAGGGCCCTGGGACCAGTTTCTCCTCTCCTCCAACCCCCGAGGGAGGGAGACAGACACAAGCTTGCACCTGGATCGGCTACACTCCAGATCACCCTCAGTCATTCCTTGAGTGATCACGGGTCTTTGTAAAGGGCTGTGTCATTCTTCAGGGCGCGTTCAGGAAAAATTGTAAAACCATTCCCTTTGCAATAGAAGACATCTTCTGTGGACACAAGCAGAACCAAATAGAACTTTTTCCCCCATGGCATATTTACAGAAAGAAGTAAACAGAAAGAAAGACTTCCACTGACTCGAGGTTTTTTGTTTTTGTTTTGTTTTTTAAATAAGGTTTTGAAGCTCTCTAGTCCTTACACAACGTTATGGCTATGGTGAGGGTTAGAGAATGATGTTAGCATACAGCCTAGTGGTACCTCACCCAGACTTGAAGGCCTGATCATTTAAAAAGTGTTGTTCAGAGGTACAGGCAATCGTCCCTTGACTTTAAGCCATCAGTTCAGTAACATTCAGTTTCACTTATCAAACCTTTAGCATTTCAAACAGCTGCTCTTGATAATGTCCAGGAGAAAATCTCCTTTTCTCCTGAAATCTGAGTAGGAAAATAAAGGCTAAGAGAGAGAGAAAGATGTGTTTCTGAATCATGAATGTTTAGCAGAAATAAAATATTCAAGAATTAGGAAAATTTAAGGCAAGACATACACAAGAAAATGCAATAACTAAATAAAATGAGAAGACATTCTTTACTAGCATAAGGAAAATGCAAATTATAATTGCAAAGTTGTACCATTTTTCATCTAAGAGATAAGCAAAAATGCAAACGTTGGAGGCCAGCCTGTGTTGGCCGGGTTGTGGAGAAATGGGTCTTCCACGACCTCAATGGCTTCTGGACTGTGACAGCTGGCGGGGGAGAGCCTCTGACCCTGCCACCACACTCTTGAGAAGCAGTCTTACAGGAAAAAAGGAGGAGAACTAAGAAGATAGGTATAAAATATTTACCACAGCATTGTTGGTAGTGGTAGAAAACTAAAAGCCCTGGATGCTCATCAGTAAGAAAACACCTGAAACAGGCACGGGACGCCCACACTGCGTACTGCTTTTCAGTTATTAAAAATAATGAACTGGATCAACATGC